GCAGTAAAGTGATGATCGGAGCCGAGAGAGTTTGTGTGTTTTCGGGTGTGTTCCGGGGTTTCAGTGGTTGACTGCTTGGAAGAAGTTCTCTTGGTGCCGATGATTGCCGATGTGCTTCTCCGTAAAGCCAGAGCTCGTGAACATTTTAAGCAGTCCCTGCTGACACACCCAAAGATGCCTGCAAGAGAACTATGAGACCCAAGAGACTCAAGAGACCCAACAGGAACCCAACAGGGACCCAAACGAGACCCAAACGAGACCCAAGAGAGCCAACGGCACCTTTTCGGGTTTTGCCAGCGCCAGGTGCTCTATTATTTGACTGTCGGCAAGCCGCAGCCCGACCCGAGACTCCTCAGCTTTGAGCCCTACCAGCACCTGCAGGCTTCGAGAGATTTCTGGGTGCATGTGAGGGGTTTTAGTTTTTAGTTGGTTTCGGGGGGGGTTTGAGAGGGATTTGAAGGATGTTGGTTTGGAGTTGGGGGGGTTGAGGCTCCCGGTTCGGGTCCTGCCAGGAGGGCTTCTCCTACGAGGCCTTGCAGGGTGGCATGGGCCGGATCTTCCAGACCTGAGCGACAGACACAAGGATTCTGGAACCGAACCGATCAGGCTGCCAAGGCAGCCCGCCTCCCCACCCCCGTGAGAAGCTGCAGACCGGCACCGCGCAGCCTGCCAAAGTAGTGGCGTATCACTCGGAGCTGGATGCGATCACTGCCAGCAACGCCGTTTCGAAGCAGCCCTTTCCGCTGGGGCAACTCTCGAAGTGCTCCGGGAGCGATCGCCGAGTACATGGCATCTCCGCTGCGTCCGGGCAGCTTGAAAACTGAACGCTGCTGCTGAATTTTGGCGATTGGGTTTCAATGGACATTGTGCCACGCGGGGTGTAGATCGGCGCTCTTACGGTCATACGGCATCGGTCACCTCAGTGTCTCGAGATGTTTAGGGCTCAAGAGTGGCTTGGCTCTCTGCATGATCTTGCGTAGAAGATCAGGCGTATAGACTTCGAGGCCAGGTCTAGAAAGGTGCTGACTCCCGAACAAGTTCCAGATCTCGGGTCCCTCGTCCCTCGTCCATTCCAGTGACTGCACGGGGCCTTCAGCTATGTTTGGCGCGAGCAGCGGCCGCCGCCCCCTCAGAAGCGCCCAAGAGGGCCTTGAGGTTTTTAATGCGTTTGTCGGTACGATTGTTGCTGTCTTGTTGAAGTCTTCAGGGTGGAAGGGTTTAGCCAACGTCCTTTGGACTCGGCATCTGTTATTTTGGGTTGGCGGCGTGGGGTTGAGCGTGTTCGGGACCTTCAGCATGCTTGTTTACAAACCGTTTTGTGAACGGTGCTGTCCGAACAGCTCTTCCCGCATCCTGCCTCGTTGCATGGTGCCGGCGGGAGATCCCAGAGCTGGTCCGCTCCAATGATCTGGAACTGCTGGAGAATGCTGAACTGCTCCGATTGGCCAGGCGCACGAGGGGGGAATCCTGTCAAATCAAGCGTTCCGGGCGTTGTAACGGGCCCTCCCTCCTTAAAGAAAGGATGCGTGAGGACAGCGTGGGACGTATCATGCTTTCAAAAGACAGGAGCCTCATCACCCCTGTGCCCGTGATGAGCTCCCGATCGTCACGGGCCCCGAAGCGGCAGAAGGTCGAAGAGGAGCACTCAGGCTTGTTGTGCCTTCTTCAGCTCATGCTTTCTTTTGTTTAGTGCTCAGCCGGCAAAGGCTTTTACGGTTAGGGAGTTGGTGTTCATGAAGTGGGGTTGCTTACCAATGCCAGACTGTGTGCAGAGACGCCCAGCCCACCACAAAGCCAAAAGGCCGAAAGGACTTGAGACTTGTCAAGCAGGCGGCTACGACTACAGCTATGCCGCTGCGGGATACTCGTTCCCTGGGCTTCTTGGCGAGCTTGACGGGATAAGCATCGGATGTCTTACAAGCGCCGCATTGCCTCTGCGCCTCACCCCAAGGTTTCATCCCGTTAACCAATTAAACAGTTTAAGTTCCCACAAACTTTGTCAGAGCCAGTGCGCCACGTGGAAGACGGAGCTAAGGCTCTAAAGCCCTATAAGGCTAAATCTGACTTGGAACACCAGGATGCAGAAATCGAAAAGTTTCCATTGTCCATATGGCGGGGCCCGCCGTTGATATCTTGGGGATTCTTGGGGTATGTAGTCGGATGTAGTCGGTTGATAAAGGCTTCGTTTTGAGAGCCCACGGCGTTGACCATTCAACCGTGGCCGAGGTACAGCTACCAATGGCCTGCGACCCAGCCCAACCCCTACGCGCTGCCAGCTGCTTACAGCTCCGTGGATTTGTTCATCTTTTGCCGCACGATTTTCTTCCGTCCGTAGCTGTCCTGAAGCTGGACTGCTACGAGCTGTTTAGTCAGCATTCGGCGTGCGGGTGAACGATAGATGTCCACAGTCTCTGCTCCTGTGGCCCATGTGGCATGGTCAAGTTAAGTCTCCACTCCGCACCAGCCCTGCTGCGTCTGCATGGGCCATGCACACCGAGCCTGAGGCTATGCTGCCACTTACGGCTACAGCAGTGCCTACTATGCCGCAGCGGCGGCGGCGGCCGCGGTGCAGTCGGGCATAGGCTTGACTTGCTAAGTCCCGCTCAGTGGGGTAGTGTTCATTGCCCTAGATCAAGCTTCGTGCCAATGGTTTGGATGGTGGCTACATTGCGGCTACATCCTGCAACCTCAGAGTCCGCAAAGTCCTAGAGGCCGGTCCTGCACTCAACCGTCAATGCCGAAACGTCCAACATCCCCCCTTAATCGTTCTCAATTCAGGTCATTAGCCTTCAAAGCCAAGTCTAATATACCACCCACCCCAAGCCCCTGTTGCGCACGAAGGTGATGAGGAGACTGAGCACGGAGCTCAGCGTGTGTGTGGTGGGATTGCTAAGATCCTCAAAATTGAGGGATTGGAGGGTTTGCGGCCACAAAATCCTGACTGCCAAGCAGCTTTGCCAGTTTGAGCTGTCAAGGGTGTCTGCTCCTGGAGTCTTGCGAGGCGAAGCCGACAGCCTGGAAGTTCGAGTTACGTGGCCATGACCCGAGGTCAGCAGTGGGGAAGAAGGGGGACTATGAGAACCTGCTACAGGAGCTCAAGGCCAAGCAGGCCACGGCAGATAGTTGGCTTCATTTCAGAACTAGTGATTAGTCGAGTGTTGCGGAGTTGGCAAAGAGTTTACTTTGAGAGCATTCTATGTGCCTCGTGCTTATCGGCAGAGGGAGAGAGAATCGAAGAAATTTCTGAGATGCAGGCTGCCCGTGCCGCCGGAGACTGCCAGCAAGAGGTGCAGGCCCTGAGGGTCGCAGCGAATATAGCGTCGTGGTTCTGGGGCTTTCTGCGTCGGGCCGTCTTACGCAGACTTTGCTCGTTTCCGCCGAGGGACAACCGATTTGGATGTTCCTACCAGAGTTGCGAAAGTTGCGACAGTCGAGACCCTGACCCACACCCCGTCAGCTAGTTGGTTACACGCGCATCTGGCGCCGCGATATTTCGTGCATTTTTGCACAATTTTTCTGGGTAGCTCGGGGGGTTTGGGGGGGGGAGGGGGGGGGATAAGAACGTCATTCATATTTCACACCCTGAAAGTTTCAAGGCGCCTCGCGCGCGTGTGACCTAGTTTCATTACTGTTTCATTCATTATGCATGAGGACTGATGGACGTAAGCAGTGCTCGCTGCGGGGCAGCGGCTCCAGACTCCAGACACCCGAACGACTCAAACGGCTCGTATCCCTTTGTGAGAACCAATCAAGTTCACCAAGCTGAGAAAGGCTTTCAAGCCCTTCGCCCGGAAACGAAATCCTAGACGAGCCCCAGGACAAGAAGCGGTTTCGGTTTCCTGACGATGGCTCTGCAGACCAGTGATGGCCTCGACTTCGTCAGTCTTAGGACAAAAGAACCAAGCAACTGCTGAACGCCAAGCCCCAAGCAATCCGCGGACCCCCCCCCCGTGTGCAGCTTAAATAGGGTCTATTTGGAAGCTGAGACTCGTGTTTTAAAGAGGAAATAAGGCCCCAAAACGTATACTTATTTACAAGAGACAACTTCCAAATAGACCCTATTATCGTTTCTGGGGGGTCTGGGGCAAGGAATTAAATAATTTAAATAATTTAAATCCGAAAGGGGCGTTCCGGATTTAAATTATTTAAATTATTTAATTCTGGGAGGGGGAGGGGGCCTGGGCCTGGCCCCCCGCCCCCTTTTCGGATTTAAATTATTTAAATTATTTAAATTATTCAAAGTATTTAAATTATTTAAATTATTTAATTCCGGGGGGGGGAATTAAATAATTTAAATAATTTAAATCCGAACCCCCCCTTTCAGATTTAAGTTATTTAAATTATTTAATTCCCCCCCCGGAATTAAATAATTTAAATAATTTAAATAATTTAAATAAATTAAATCCGAAAAGGGGGTGGGGGGCAGGCCCAGGCCCCCTCCCCCTCCCAGAATTAAATAATTTAAATAATTTAAATCCGAAAGGGGCGTTCCGGATTTAAATTATTTAAATTATTTAATTCTGGGAGGGGGAGGGGGCCTGGGCCTGGCCCCCCCCCTTTTCGGATTTAAATTATTTAAATTATTTAAATTATTTAAATTATTTAAATTATTTAAATTATTTAAATTATTTAATTCCGGGGGGGGGGGAATTAAATAATTTAAATCCGAACCCCCCCTTTCAGATTTAAATATTTAAATTATTTAATTCCCCTCCCGGAATTAAATAATTTAAATAATTTAAATAATTTAAATAAATTAAATCCGAAAAGGGGGGGGGGGCCAGGCCCGGGCCCCCTCCCCCTCCCAGAATTAAATATTTTAAATAATTTAAATCCGAAAGGGGCGTTCCGGATTTAAATTATTTAAATTATTTAATTCTGGGAGGGGGAGGGGGCCTGGGCCTGGCCCCCCCCCCTTTTCGGATTTAAATTATTTAAATTATTTAAATTATTTAAATTATTTAAATTATTTAATTCCGGGGGGGGGGAATTAAATAATTTAAATAATTTAAATCCGAACCCCCCCTTTCAGATTTAAATTATTTAAATTATTTAATTCCCCCCCCGGAATTAAATAATTTAAATAATTTTAATAATTTAAATAATTTAAATAAATTAAATCCGAAAAGGGGGGGGGGGCAGGCCCCGGCCCCCTCCCCCTCCCAGAATTAAAAAATTTAAATAATTTAAATCCGAAAGGGGCGTTCCGGATTTAAATTATTTAAATTATTTAATTCTGGGAGGGGGAGGGGGCCTGGGCCTGGCCCCCCCCCCTTTTCGGGTTTAAATTATTTAAATTATTTAAATTATTTAAATTATTTAAATTATTTAAATTATTTAATTCCGGGGGGGGGAATTAAATAATTTAAATAATTTAAATCCGAACCCCCCCTTTCAGATTTAAATTATTTAAATTATTTAATTCCCCCCCCGGAATTAAATAATTTAAATAATTTAAATAATTTAAATAATTTAAATAATTTAAATAATTTAAATAAATTAAATCCGAAAAGGGGGGGGGGGCCAGGCCCGGCCCCCTCCCCCTCCCAGAATTAAATAATTTAAATAATTTAAATCCGAAAGGGGCGTTCCGGATTTAAATTATTTAAATTATTTAATTCTGGGAGGGGGAGGGGGCCTGGGCCTGGCCCCCCCCCCCTTTTCGGATTTAAATTATTTAAATTATTTAAATTATTTAAATTATTTAAATTATTTAAATTCCGGGGGGGGGAATTAAATAATTTAAATAATTTAAATCCGAACCCCCCCTTTCAGATTTAAATTATTTAAATTATTTAATTCCCCCCCCGGAATTTAAATAATTTAAATAATTTAAATAATTTAAATAAATTAAATCCGAAAAGGGGGGGGGGGCAGGCCCAGGCCCCCTCCCCCTCCCAGAATTAAATAATTTAAATAATTTAAATCCGAAAGGGGCGTTCCGGATTTAAATTATTTAAATTATTTAATTCTGGGAGGGGGAGGGGGCCTGGGCCTGGCCCCCCCCCCCTTTTCGGATTTAAATTATTTAAATTATTTAAATTATTTAAATTATTTAAATTATTTAAATTATTTAATTCCGGGGGGGGGAATTAAATAATTTAAATAATTTAAATCCGAACCCCCCCTTTCAGATTTAAATATTTAATTTAAATAATTTAAATATTTTAAATAATTTAAATAATTTAAATAATTTAAATAATTTAAATCCGAAAAGGGGGGGGGGCAGGACCGGGCCCCCCCCCTTCCCAGAATTAAATAATTTAAATAATTTAAATCCGAAAGGGGCGTTTCGGATTTAAATTTTTTAAATTATTTAATTCTGGGAGGGGGGGGGGCATCATCATTTTCATCTTTTTCGTCATCTCCTTAATATCCTTTTTTTCCTTCATCTTCATCATCTCCATCATCTCCATCATCTTCATCATCTCCTTCATCTCTTTCATCTCGCTGAGCTCGTTGAACTCTATCATCTTCATCTTTATCATCTTCTTCATCTCCCTCATCTCCCTCATCTTCATCATCTGCTTCATCTCCCTCAGCTCGTTCATCTTCATCATCTTCATCACCTTCATCTTCTTCATCATCTTCATCATCTTCGTCATCTTGCATCATCTTCTTCATCTTCCTCATCTTTCATCATCTTCTTCATCTCCATCATCTCCCATCATCTTCAGTCTGAAAAACTCAAATATTCACCACCGTTCGCGGGGGGCTCCGCCCCCCGCACCCTCTGGATCGAGGGCTTGCCCCCCTCGAGCTCCCCCCTTCCCCTCAAGGCCCCCCAGGGGGCGAGCAGGGGGGAGACCCCCCCGCTACGCCCCCCCCCCCCCTCATAAACTGAAACTACTAGACCCATAAACCCAAAAATCCCCAAACCCTTAAACCTCTCAATTTAGTGCATAAGCATGCGTCATTCGCAGGGTGTGCTCCTCGCGGGGGTGGTGGTGGTTGCCGTTAGAAACCAAAAAAATCAGGTTAACAAAATGGGGCTTTTCTTTTGTGGTATTGTCTGGTGGTGGTGGTGGTGGTGGTGGTGGTGGCCGTTCAAAACCAAAAAATGAGGTTAACAAAATGGGGTTATTTTTGGGTGGTATTGTCTGGTGGTGGTGGTGGTGGTTGCCGTTTGAAACAAAAAATGAGGTTAACAACATGGGGCTTTTTTTGGTGGTATTGTCTGGTGGTGGTGGTGGTGGTCGTTCAAAACCAAAAAATGAGGTTAACAAAATGTTTTTTTTTTTTGGTGGTATTGTCTGGTGGTGGTGGTGGTGGTGGTCGTGGTGGCCGTTCAAAACCAAAAAATGAGGTTAACAAAATGGGGCTTTTCTTTTGTGGTATTGTCTGGTGGTGGTGGTGGTGGTGGTGGTGGCCGTTCAAAACCAAAAAAATGAGGCCCCCAGGGGGCGAGCAGGGGGAAGACCCCGGAAAGGGTAGGAACAACATTTAAGAGGTCAAAATTTGCCGGGATCCCCTTGGCACCGTGCACATGGCCTGCAAATACCACACAAAACCGGAAAGGGTAGGAACAAAATTTGCCGGTCAAAATTTGCCGGGATCCCCTTGCATGGCACCCTGCAGAAGTCCTGCAAATACCACACAAAACGGGAAAGGGTAGGAACAACATTTGGGGGTCAAAATTTGCCGGGATCCCCTTGGCACCGTGCACATGGCCTGCAAATACCACACAAAACCGGAAAGGGTAGGAACAACATTTGCCGGTCAAAATTTGCCGGGATCCCCTTGGCGCCCTGGAAAAGTCCTGCAAATACCACACAAACAGGGAAAGGGTAGGAACAACTTCGCGGGTCCAAATCTGCCGGGATCCCCTTGGTGCCCTGGAAAAGTCCTGCAAATACCACACAAAACGGGAAAGGGTAGGAACAACATTTGCCGGTCAAAATTTGCCGGGATCCCCTTGGCACTCTGCAAAAGTCCTGCAAATACCACACAAAACGGGAAAGGGGTAGGAACAACATTTGGGGGGGCAAAATCGCAAGCCCTGCTCCCTAAGATTTGGTCCCTAAGATGTTAGGTTCAAGTTTTCCTCCAAAAAGCCAAATCGCAAGCCCTGCTCTCCAAAATGTTGGGTTCAAGTTTTCCTCCAAAGAGACAAATCGCAAGCCCTGGTCCCTAAGATTGTGGGGTCATTCTTTGCTCCAACGAGTCAAATTCACAAGTCCTGGTACCTAAGATTTGGGGTGGCTCTTTGGAGGAAAACTTGAACCCACAATCTGCGGGACCAGGGCTTGCGATTTGACTCTTTGGAAGAAAACTTGAACCCAAGTTTTTCGGG